ACTATTATGTATAGAAGGATCTAGCTGGCAATTACAAAGTAAATAGTATTAAAATTATGAAATTAAATGTCTAGGAGAATAAGAACTGGTTGGATATAACAAAAAGGACGAGCTTAACTTCAAGACCAAGGGAACACGGAGGAATATTCATCTGGAAAGTCGTCCAAACAGAGGTGACAGCACCACGTAGACTCATGTAAATAAGGAGGAGGATTAGGTAGTCCCCAGTTTTTGATGATACTCCATTTTCAACAACTCTGTCATAAGTCAGCAAGTTAATTATTACGGTTGTTTGTTCTATTCTTGGTTTTGATGATGTTTGCCTTTTATTATTAGCATCTTCTCAAGTCTAATAGTGCTTTAAAGCAAAAAACCAAACTTACTGCCATCAAGTTGAAGCGTACTCAGCAACCCAGTAGGACAGGGTAGACCTGCCCTGTGAGTGTCTGAGATTCTCTTTATGGGAGTACATAGCCCTGCCTTTCTCCCTCAGAGCAGCTGGTGGTTTCGAACTGCAGACCTTGCAGTTAGCAGCCAACGCGTAACCACTACCCCACCAGAGTTCCTTGTGTTTTGAACAGTATACCATGAAATTGAACGTCTGTAAGTGAACATATGATCATCAGAAAGCTATAGGCTGTAATAAGTTACTACCAATAAGAAACCCAAAACAAAAACATTTGGTCATAGTGAAGTTCGCCATAACATGTCATAATTACCTAACTGTATTTTATTCATTTTTAAATTTTATTATTTTTTAAAGTCATGAGCAAACACTGCTTCTGAAATTAAAAAAAAACAAACTTAAGTGTTTTACCTTGCTCCTTAGAAGCTTGTCTTTATTTGAAAAGTGAGATAAATGCAGCTTTGAGTTTTGATAACCTTGATTATCAAGTGACTTAAAATTACAGCCAGAATCCTAGATGTCCCAGATTAAAAAACAAACACACAAACAATTATTCTTGGATTTTTATGACAACCAACACTCAACAAAATATAAAACAATTTTTAAAAAGTGTAAAACTTTTTCCACAGAAAAGGATGTACAGAAATATTAAGATACAATTAAAGAGAATGAATCTAATATAAAAATATGTGACTTTACTGAAGACAGAAGCAGGTGTTTTAACTAGTCACCTGTATAAAACAAAAGATATATTTAAAGTTGAAGACTTTTCTGAACCATTTCTAGTGTCTGTAAAAATGCTAAGATAAAACAAGAGTCTCTTGTAGTGAGACAATAGCTCAGTTAATACCAAAACAAAAACAAAAAAACACTAAACTTACTACTATATGAGTCAATGCTGACTCATAGGGACCCTACAGGACAAGATAGAAGTCCTCCTGTTTCCGAGACTATAATTGTTTACAGTAGATTCGAACAGCTAAACAAGGCTTAGCTAATAGTTTTCATAACTTATTAACTTCAAAAATTAAAGTAGGCCTCCTTTTCATGTTTGACATTAATATTTGACATAATTTCATTTAATGTTTGACATTAAAGAGAAAAAATGGCATATACTTTTAAGTAGTAGTATTACACATAAAACTTTAGCAATGTTTTTTAAAAAAATCATTTTATTGGGGGCTTGTATAACTCATCACAATCCATATATACATCCATTGTGTCAAGCACATCTGTTGCCATCATCATTTTCACAACATCTTACTGCTTGAGCCCTTAGTATCAGCTCATTTTTCTCCTCCCTCCCTCATAAACCCTTGATAATTTATAAACTATTATTATTTTTCCATGTCTTGCACT